TGTCTTTGTATATAACTATTAACGTGCAGAAAGAACGAAACGATTGTACAATTCGGTCAATAGGATAAGATAGCGAAACTTTGTAAAGAAAAATATGAAATGCAAACTAAGTAGGGCGTTAGGAGGAAAAGAAACGCGAAGAATGCGTTGTTTCGACGCTATATTGGTTTTTCTCAGATTTTCCAACGAGAATGGCACCGAACATTTTTTTGCGGTGGAGGGGGGTAAGAAAGGCTGTTATACTTATTGTTTGTTAATCGAATAGTTAAGCGCCGTTTAGAGAGTACGAGGTGCCACGAAAAAAGAGTTGTAAAACGCTATTGTTGTCAAGTTAAGAAGAAATTCTATATGTGTACTTGGAATATAGGCACTTGGGTTACGTCGAATTACAACTTGGGGATGCTAGTGTTTCACCAGACTCTTTTTGTGGTCCATTGTAGATAATGCGAGCGTCTTCGATATTTATCAACCGCGTTTCGAAAACTGTTTCATACACGAGAAGAGAGAAAGTTGCAAATAAGTGACGTCACGTTGCGTACATGTACAGCTAGAGAGAAACACTACTTCCACGATATTATATGTATATAAATATCAAAATACTAAATATCAGAATTATCTCAGGATCTTATCTCAACATTTTATCACGAAAATCTGCGAGAATGTTCGATAGAGTTGTAAAGACGTGATGTTCGGAGTTCTAGTCAACTAAACGTGCGATTATGAGAGACCACGCCATCGAGCTTCGGTCCATGAGACGGCGAATGCGCGATTGATAACGATTTGAAATTATGATTATCGTGTAAGCCATAGCGCTGTATACTTCCATTCTATTTGTACGATCCCTTCGCTTTTAACAAACTGTTCTTTTAATTGCTTGTATAGAATTAAGTTGCACCAATACGTCTAAAAAACGAGAAAAAATATGTTACGTGAATGTAGATCCAAAAGTGCTCGATACAAATGCTCCACCAAGAAAAGTATTAAACACGAGGAATGCAATAGTCTAACAAGAAATCAATCATGACTGTCTACGTAATAATTGGAATAATATCTTGCTTGGAAATGATTAAAATCATCTTATTCTTAGGATATGCTTTATATATTTACACTTAACTTTTACAACTGTAACTTCAGTTCCCTTTTGCAAAAAATACGTCTGCAATAATAATAAAATTATTTATTATTATTGTAAAAATTGTATTACCAAAGATGATTTAAAGTTCAGTTAAGAACATTATATATAAATATAAAAAGCTTGTTCTAAGATTGAAATGAGTTTTAATAACATGATTATCTACTTTGTTTATTAATGAACTTTCAAGTGCGACTATGATTGAATGGAAACTGTCCCTAGTAAATAAATAGGGAATTGTTAAAAACTAGTATACCAAATAACAAACAATACTCAACAAGAATACTTTCAATCTTTCATCTGAAATTGAGTTATAATATTTCTAATTTCAAATTTTATCCCTTTCTCCTTGCAAGTATCCAAAACGTAAATGATGGAACAGTTTTGATTGGTCTTATTATGTAACACCACGAATTATTTATAATCAAGTAAAAATATTGTTCCAATTTTTTGTTATATTAGATATTCTTTCGACTTTTACCCGTTGAACGTATTGGCGCAGTCTGATAGTCTATCTTCGCATCATCAATTGTTTTCCAAGCAACCATCATCTTTTTTTTTTGTTCATCAATTGTATCATTGTAACATTTGAACGTAATTACGTTAATCTTTTATGTTCAAATATAATCGTTTCGTTAACGTTGATCGAATGCATTTACTTTAACTCTCATCATTTTGACTATGGTTATACTGCTAGATTCAACACGTGTGTGTGCCATATATACGGAGTGAAACGTAATTTACAGTAAAACCGAGAAGGACGCGATTATTTCCATGCACCACTACCTACTGGTTTTGCACTGTGACTCGCGTTTCATCTGTCTGGAATAAAAAAAGATGGACTTTCCGCAACAATAATCCGCGCGCAATAGTTTAGCCCACGATTGTAACTTTTGATATTTCTAATCTATTTTCTTAATGCTATTTTGATCGTGTTTATTGCAATATGTATCGTTTAAAATAAATGTCTCACACCATGACGATTCACGATGGACGTGCCCTCAATTATTCTTTTATTTATCCTTTACATCCAAAAAAAAAGGAGATGAACTTTCAAAAGTCCTTCAGCCATTTTTCCTGAGTAAATTAGTGGCGCCATTACTGACTATTATTACATAGCATAATAACACAGTGATATCGTTAGAAAGGTTTGGTTTTTTTGTTACACCTTTTCTACGACTACGTGCATTTAATCAAGTTTATGCAGTATTATTACTATTCAGCTCTGTTCGATTTTTTTGGAGATAAAATAAAAAATTTTGGTTATGAACAAATGGTTATGCCATTACTATTTTCGCCATTGGATGGACTGCGCATGTCTAAACAATCTAATCGCTGATACTTCATAACTTCATGCTGTTCAAAATTTTGAGAGATCATCCGAGGTGTATAATAGTATTCGTTTAAAAGAATTTATTAAAAATGGTGGACGCAAAAGGAGATGCATCATCCGAGATGACTGCAATTAAAGAATTTCCCGATCATGCATTTAGATTAGAAAAGGTACACAAGTGCCTGGATCTTTATTCAAAAGTAGAATTCCTCTTAACCTCTTCAGGAATACTCCTTTAAGATACTTTGAAGGCTGCAACATCGACATAACCACTAAAATTATGAATATACATTCAGAATTAAATTATACAAAACTATATACTTGCATAAACCGTTAATATTTTGAGGTTGAATTTTTATTTATTCCGAACAAAATACTTCGTTCCTGGAGAGGTTAAATGACTCCTTATTTGTCTGAATTTTCCTGCTAACTTTTTCAAGTTCGACGTGGAAGAAGTGCATGAAGTGCTGGAATCAGCGATCACGAGATCGAAGATCCACCATGAAAGAAATCCAAGCGACTGTCAAACAGTACACAAGTGTGTATTGGAGAAGCCTCAAGGTTTTTACTTCGCGAAAATGAGAGACTTTGCAGACAAATTGCCCGCGCACACTTTACTTCCCGTACGCGTATTCAAATATTACCCAGTGATGTATCAAGGCGGTTCCCTTTTAGAAGCAGACTAACTTCCTTCGAGACTGGGTTTACGGAGTAAACTACTGACTTTTATTCGTACAAAAAAACAAGCATACATTCGAATTCGTTTTCTTCTAAGCCTCCTAATTAATCTTAGTAAATCGACTATTATAAACATTAGTAATAGAAATCAATAATAGAAATTTGATGAAAAATCTCCGTAAATCTAGTGTTAACTAAATTCTAAATCAAATCTTACATTCAAGGGTCTGAATATTCCGCGGTCAAAGGGACCTGGCACCTATAGTTACGTCACTGACAATACTATCAGTGATGGTCTATCACTCAAGTTCAAAAGCGCAGTTGTATACACAGGTCCTAAAATTACCATGCTGAGGATAATCCATAGACATGGAAGTCCTTCTAATGAAGGTTCAGTTGTATTTCATGAAAATGCAATCATCTAGTAATAAACCATCCTTCTCTATTTGCATTTTTCCTACAATTTGGCATTACGCAATTTCAAGGCCTCTTTTAATCATGTAGTTATAAATTCCCGATTCGAATTTATACTATTAATCTATGCGCAGGGCCGGTTTTAGCAATATTGGCGCCCTGGGCAAGATTATCGTGGCGCTCCTTCAGGGGTATATACAGGGTGTCCCAAAAATGTTGTAACACCTTGAAAGGGGTGGTTCAGGAGGTGATTTCAAACAACTTTTCCCTTAGCGAAAATGTTGTTCGAGGTTTCGTTAAGGAGATATTAAGCGAAAACACTGATCAATCAGAGCGCGAGTATGCCGGTTGAGCGTAGGCTTCGCGATAGGCGGCCGCGTTCATACGCTACCGCGGGCGCTCCAAAGGTATACGCGCCCTGTGATTGGTCGGGGTTTTCGCTTAATATCTCCTCAACGAAACCCCGCACAACATTTTCGCTAAGGAAAAAGTTGTTTCAAATCACCTCCAGAACCACCTCTTTTAAGGTGTTACAACATTTTTGGGACACCCTGTATACTTGATCACAGCGCAAACTCACTAATGGTAAAGTTGGAAAACGCTTGGGTTTCGCTGCAGAGGACATTCCTGAGAAATTATAATAAAGATTATTATCTCAGTCATGTACCATAAAAAAAATTCATAACTTTCGAATGATACGAATTCAAATAATACTGTCCAAGTGAAACGTATTCAGAAGCAGAGATGGGGCAAAACCCTAGGCAGGGCCGGCGTGACCTTTTGCGAGGCCGGGTTCAAAAATTTTGCGGGGCCTGAATTCACATTCAAATCCTACACTTAAATTTTACGAGGAATTATTTATTTACAAATGCTATATATTTTTTATAAGATGAATATTAAATAATAATACTTTGATGATTTTTGTCACTCCTTTCAATTTAATCATCGCTACTAAAAAAATGTCTTGCATCTCCGCAAAAATTGCTTCCATTTGTTAATAGTATCATCAGTCTGTAAAAAGTTAATCAAAATCCGTATCTTTTAATTCAGTAATTTTCGTAGACCGCGGGCCCGGGTTCCGGCGAACGCGCTGAACCTGCCTTGCGCCGGCCCTGATCCTAGGCTTCGAATAAATCTGAAGTTGGGCGATATGTTTGTCTCGTTTCCTCTTTTGAACATTTTCCAAAGAGGGAAGCGAGACAAACACGTCGGCAAACTTCAGATTTTTTCGAAGCCTAGGGTTTTGCCCATCTCTGCTTTCCTCCACCCCTGGACCTTTTGAACCTGTGTATACGTCTGCGGCCGAGAACACGGTTCAATTTGAAAATCCTTTAGGAATGGGAACAGAATATTCGAAAGTTGGTAGCAGCCGACTTACGACATAAATATGCTGATATTTTCGAGGCTCAACTAAACGAAACGAAATTGCGCTATCACCGAGCTATGCATGAACAAGCTGTGAAACGAGTGATTGCCATAGAATGCCAGGAAGAATGTAACGAAGATTTGATACCTATCCCGCCATTTAAGCTTGCTGGTCGAACGGATCAGTATCCAAAGTATTTGAGAAATCGTTGCGCGATCAAGAAAAGGTATTACTTACCACACAAGCTAATGAGAAACATTGTGGCTAGAGCACATCTCCTCATGCCAGAGTGGATCTGCGATTTCAGACGTTACCGGCACCAGGGTTATCTCGATTTCAACAGGTACATTATTCTGAGTTGAAAATTCATTCTACACTTCACTAAGCGAAAGACTCGAGCAAATAAAGTGTCGAAACACGAATAGACTCGACAACCGATTGAAAATTCGTTAGCAAAAATGTCATTTAACAATTATCGTTCTGTTTGGCTGAATTCAGCTCATTTTGCTGAACGCGAAGTACAGTATAGGAGTTCCCAATGTAACCGGTAACGATTCGTCAATCAACTTCAGCAAAGTATATCCTCAACACTCGATTTCGTGTTAACGTTATTTCTGTACTAATTTATAAAATACAGGGTGTCCTAAAAATGTTGTAACACCTTGAAATGGGTGGTTCGGGAGGTGATTTGAAACAACTTTTTCCTTAGCGAAAATGTTGTCTGAGGCTTCGTTGAGGAGATATTAACGGAAAACACTGACCAATCAGAGCGCGAGTATCTGGTGGAGCGTCCGCGGTAGCGTATCAGCGCCGCCGCTTAGCGCGTAGCCTACGCTCCAACGGTATACGCGCGCTCTGATTGGTCGACGTTTTCCGTTAATATCTCCTTAACGAAGCCTCGAACAACATTTTCGCTAAGGAAAAAGTTGTTTCAAATCACCTCCCGAACCACCCATTTCAAGGTGTTACAACATTTTTGGAACACCCTGTATAAGTTTGCACTTGCATAGAAAAGAGTCAACGCGTTAAGAAGGTTGGGAACCCCTGTTTTAAACCGTCATTCGTTCCAAACTTCGCACTGCTCGAACCAACGCTTTCGCACGCGCGACCGTAAATTTGTCAATTTTCTTATTCGCGCATATTTCGATCGCGAAAGTCCCGATCGTTTCACTAATATGCACCAATCACGCGACAACGTGACGCGAAAGAGGAGGTCGGAAGTGAACTTATTCCTCGCATTTCTTGCACTGTTTCAAGATTATTGGACTTGATAGAAGCGGATACGAAAAAAGGCGCGCTCGCCATCAGTGCTACCTATTACGGTGACATCGTGCGACTGATCTCTCAACCGCGTTACCTTTATGACGTACCCCCACCCTCTATACGCGACTTCCTCAACTGCGCCGACAATTTGCTCGCTCTTCAGGTGGTCATGCGTATGATTAAGACCATCGAACATCTTCTCGAGGTTTTACAGGACTGGCAAATTATGCCGCTATTAAAAGTACGCAATCTATCCTTATTCATCTTTGGTTCATCGAGAAAAGAGGAAAATGAGCTGCGAGGTCAAACGTTATCGATCGAGATCGTAAGCTTTGACCTGCCGTTCGATTCACCGAACGATAATCAAAAGATGACCATTGTAGTTATTTTTATTCATGACTTTAACCATGTGTTATACAAGTTTTATTTCATTTCAGGATAACTGACGTGAGTTTCTACAACTAATAAATATTATTACCCTTCTACAGGGTGTCTACGTATAAGCAGGTACGGCGCAAGGCAGGTTCAGCGCGTTCGCCGGAACCCGGCCCCGCGTTTTGAGGGGCCCCGCGGTCTACGAAAATTTTGATTAACTTTTTACGAAATGATGATACCATTAACAGATGCAAGACATTTTTTTTATTAGCAATGATTCAGTTTAAAGGAGTGACAAAAGTCATCAAGTATTAGTATTTAATATTCATCTTATAAAAGATATGTAACAGCATTTGTAAATAAATAATTCCGCGTTGTAAAATTTAAGTGTAGGATTTGAATGTGAATTCAGGTCCCGCAAAATTTTTGAACCCGGCCCCGCAAAAGGTCACGCCGGCCCTGCATATAAGTCCGGACATACGCAGAGTGTCAATTCTACAACAAGCCTGATCGGATAAAAGAGTCTAAATTTGAAAAAAATAGTTTATTGGAAAAAAATAAAACCTTGAGGTGTAAAAAAACCAGTTTTTTTCCTAATTGTGGAGACTCGGGAGTGTCACCAAAAAATACATCAAACCCGATGTCGAGCTAATATTAAAGTGACGAGACGATTTTTGTTGAAAAATGTCGATTTTCACCTAAAAACGTTGGCTTTTCTCCATTCAAACGTCATTTTCTCCCTAAAATACTATCGTAGAATTTTTTTTGACAATACCATTCAAAAGCTGAGACCTCGAGGAAGTTTTTCCCGAGGAGTGCCCGCCAAATAACTATGTATTTAAAACCGAAAAACGGATAGAGAAAAAGTCAAATTTGTTAAAATTGTCACGATGTAAAGTTTAACCTAATTTTTCACTTATTAAACCTACGTAATAAATTTTGATTTTGCATCAGGGAGATGGGAAATTTAACGCTCTTTCGAATGATGTACTGATTTTTAAGTTTGCACTGTAATTTAGTGAAGTTATGCCCGTTTAAAGAGTGCCAAGTCGAAAACATAGAAAAAAAATTAAAAGTGAAAATACTCTCGAGGATAAGGCGACACAAAGAAAATGTCTAGGAGTAATTTTTTGTCGGAAATTTGTTGTAGAATTGACACTCTGCGTATGTCTGGACTTATACGTAGACACCCTGTATAAAGATACTATGGCCAAATTTATGAATAATTTTCTCAATTAAGGATTATCAAGAGGGAGGGTTCCAAGTGTACGATAATAAGCAATATTCGTCATAAAGCGAGCATTACCAATTACATTTAACAAAGGATAAGTATTCAGTTATTTATTTTATACACACGATCAATTCTTGCTTATAAAAATATCATCACATCCTTCTGTATAACCAACTTGTTAAATTTCAATTAAACTGCAATTTTCCTAAATTCTGGAGATTAATCAAAATAAAGAATCGAAACGTAATAAATGGTGCTCGTTTTGACAGTGTCAAATATTGGTCCTTAAGGGGGGAGTCTGATTCAGCTAATGCATTTTTCTAATGCATGTAATTTCCAGATATAATTTATTTTTGTTAAGAAACTTTTTTTACACATAAAGGGACGTTCAAAGAAGAAAATTTGACAGTGTAGATTAGCTGGACCAGACTCCCCCCTTAAGGCGTCTGGCCACCCTGAGCGCTCGCCAGATGGGTACTACTCTTAAAAAAAAATTAATTAAGAAATTAATCAAGCAATCGCAAAAATCCATTGCTATTCTTCAGATAATGTATCTAAAAGTAGTGCGTAGAAATTTCAGAGCAATCGGACCGCACGTTTACTTTTCTTTTGGGATTATCTCGAAACTACATTTTTCGAAATGGTACAACGTAAATCTCGTAAACTATCGGTCCGATTGCTCTGAAATTTCTACACGCTACTTTTAGATACATTATCTGAAGAGTAGCAATAGATTTTTGCGATTACTTGATTAGTTTTTTTTTTTTTATTACCGAATTTTTTCATGAAATTTCGATGAAAATTAAAAAAAAAATTTCTTCGGCTCACCATAATTTTCGTAATGGTAAAAAAAAAAAATCCAATTGCTACTCTCTAGCGACAAACTCCAGAAACAAACTACTATTTTTTTTTTCTTTTCCGGATGCGACATAAAGAATATAATGATGGTACAGCCCACGCGCGTTTCGTGCCGAAGGCCTTCATCAAAACTTTCGAACCGCAGCCATTTTTATTTTTGTTATCTCAAAAAATTTTCATGTTTTCATTAAACCGTTTTTTAGTATGTGTCAAAGCATAAAAAATATTTTTTTCTATACTTTCGCATTTATGAATTTTTTAAGAATAGTGCCCATCTGGCGAGCGCTCAGGGTGGCCAGAAGCCTTAACAGGAATTGTTTTTATCGTGTGCCAATTGGTACATAGTCATGGACAATAGAGCAGAGACGACCAACTCGATTTGATTATGTCGTGCAGGCGGTTTCTACGCCGCCATTAACCATGTCCATAACTAATCAAGCTGCCCATCTCTGCAATACTAGTAATCTTATCATTCGTAGAAACGTATATTGAAGTATTTCTGTCTCGCAGCTGCGATTGAAATGCGAGAACAATGACCTATTCCTCAGTCCAACTATGCGCGAGATTTGCACCTCTTTCCACAACGTCATCGACAACATCAGTCACGTAGGACAGAATTTGCCGCCACTGGACTCATGGGTTGGCGTGAAATCTGACCGTGAACATATCAAAGTTATTCTACCCGAATGGTATTTAGAAGAAACGCATAGAAGACTCGCCCACGTATTGCAAAACGCTTTTCAGCCTTTCATCAGTTACGTTGACGAATTACATGAAAAGTTTCGAGTCGTTTTCGGTCCAGAAACCCACGATAACATTGTCGCCTACGTCAGCATGGGACGTTCTTTTCAAGAATGCGTAACGAAAGTCGAAGATTTTAATCGATTCATTCGAGAAATAAATGGCATGGTAAACTATCCTCATCAACGTTTAATCTTTATTATTTACTATCTCCTCTTTGTTTAATTATCTGAACTTCGATAGAGTTCCGCGGTAGATAAGTGTAAACGAAAATCTGTTTTACCAGCTACGCGAGTCGGTCACCTTACTGTAATATATTGCTTGGCGTTTAGATGTCACACCTGAACACTTTTTTAAATTTTACGTTTACGTTAAAGTATATTAATTTCCTATTTGCAAATGATAAATTTCCACATGGACGAATAAATGTCTCGCAATGTGTTGAAAATTTATGATTCAACTACTACTATAAATTTTAATGAAAATTTATTTCAGCCGAATCATGAATACTTCTCGATAGGCCTAATTCATCAAGTCGCAGCGAAAACTGGTTTACTTCAATATACACAAGAAGCTCGCGAATTGATTATCGAAGAACTGGTAAAGAGTCATCGTCTATTCAATCTTGAAATTTGCAGTGCGTTTGAAACTATAAGAGAAAAAGCTACGAATATTCCCGATACTACCAAAGAGTTACTCGAATTAGGTGAACACTTTTTCTCTTTCCCTATTTCATTATTATTTATGATTTTCGAAGGAGAAGTAGAAGATTCCTACAGGTGGCGTATTCTAATACAATGGAGTAACAACTACTGATGGTATTGGGTTGTCTGGAAACTTCATGCCTATTTTCAAGAAAAATTCAAAGGCATATTTAAATTTTTATGTATATTTATTGAATTATATGTGTAGCATTTTGTTCCGCAACCTTTCCACCTGTTAAGGAATGTACACATTTTATTTGTTTTCATCCATTTTGATATACAGGGTGTTCCAAAAATGTTGTAACACCTTGAAATAGGTGGCCCGGGAGTTGATTTGAAACAACTTTTTCCTTAGCGAAAATGTTGTCCGAGGCTTCGTTGAGGAGATATTAACGGAAAACACTGACCAATCAGAGCGCGAGTATGCCGATGGAGCGCTCGCGGTAGCGTATGTGCACGGCCGCCTAATGCGTAGCTACGCCTACACCGGGCGGTCCAACGGCATCCGCGCGCTCTGATTGGTCAGTGTTTTCCGTTAATATCTCCTTAACTAAGCCTCCTACAACATTTTCACTAAGGAAAAAGTTGTTTTAAATCATCTCCCGAACCACCTCTTTCAAGGTGTTACAACATTTTTGGACACCATGTATACAGACCTGTACCGCCTACTAAAAATCGGCATGAACTTTCCACAGCCCAATACTTTATAGATTAACACTTTACCGACTGGTGGTAGTCTACTGATCGACTTTTTGTCATGGTAACAAATACTTTGTTATCTATCGAGATAGCATTGTATGAATTATGAAATATTTTATGAATATTAATCTGAAAACGATTCTAATAGATAAAATAAAGACTGCATAATACCAATGTCATGAAAATAAAGAGTATTATTAAATTTAATTATATGTTCAATTGCTATCGGTCGGTAAAGTGTTACGAAGATTTGGAGGCAACTTTGAAAGAGTTTGAAACTTATAGCATTATAGATTAAGCTTAACACGTTTGCTGCCAGATAATGCACTCGAAAATTTCTGCTGTGATTAAATTTTCTTTACAGACTATTAGAAACTACGTAATCAAACATTTATCGTGGCATTTGTGTTCGTAACTTCATGGAAATTCAAGTATTTCGTTCAAATTCATTTTCTGTGACATTTAACTTCCTGAATTAATTTTGTTAGTTTTTTGGTGAAAAGCACTGTCACCTTATTTTCGTAACTCCATCGAAGTTCACGTATTTCGTTCGAATTCATTATCATTGACAGTTGACTTTCATATATGGGTGACGTGGCGATGAACGTGTTAATCCACTTTTCCTATCTAATGAAAATGTATTACAACTTTTATTTTCATTATAATCTAGGCGAATACATGATAATGGCCGCGTCAACGTTAATGAGATCATTGGAAGAGAAGATCACTCTTTCGTTGCGTATGATGGCGTCTCTAATTGAAATGACAACTCTAACTAAAGACCACATCGAGTTAAATAACACCACTATTCATTGGTTGAAGCGAATTAGGCCAATATTCGAACAAAACAGCGCCATGTACGAACATATAAAATTCCAGTTGGAGGAAAAACTCCAAAACAGAATCGAAGTTTTGAACAGAGATGTTGAAAATATGTTTCCCAGGTGAACAATAGTTCATCAAAATTAAAAATAGTGTAGATCGAAATAAGCAAATCATCACGTTTTCGAATTCTCTTTATACAGGGTGTCCCAAAAGTCGGGGAGGAGCCCGGAAATGGGGGGTAGCTGAGACGATTCTGAACAACAATTTCCTTTGTGAAAATGTCGGATGGGGCTTCGTTAAGGAGATATTAAGCGAAAACCTCGACCAATCAGAGCGCGCGTAGACCGCTGGAGCGGCCGCGGTAGCGAAGGCTACGCGCTGGCGGCCGCGTCGTCAATGTCCTTCGATGCACGTCGAGTCACTTGTTCGCGTACAAGCGCGGCCGCCAGCGCGTAGCCTTCGCTACCGCGGCCGCTCCAACGGTCTACGCGCGCTCTGATTGGTCGGGGTTTTCTCTTAATATCTCCTTAACGAAGCCCCATCCGAGATTTTTGCAAAGGAAATTGTTGTTCAGAATCGTCTCAGCTACCACCCATCTCCGGCTCCTCCCCGACTTTTGGGACACCCTGTATATCAAAAACCATATAAATTGTTGAATCGTCAACTTGTTATTGCCAGATTGGATATAATGAACGACATGGACGACGCAAAACGGATAAGCGAGTACATAGAGTTCATGCGAAAATTCGCTCGCGAGTTGGAGCGTATAGACGACAGGATAGAGTCGATTAATGACGAAGAGAGCCTATTCCAGTATCCCTTATCGGAATATCCTCGCATCAAGGAACTGAAAGAAAACATAATGCCGTATTACGATTTAATTTATCGCTGTTATCGCTGGCAGAGACACCGTGACGTCTGGTTGGATGGCCCCTTCGAATACTTGGACTCGAACGACATCGACAACAAGACGACAGAGTACTTTGGGGAGTTCAATAAGATCAGCAAACAGTACAGGACGAGAATAAAAATGGAACTCGCGATTAGCTATCCTTACGGGTAAACTATTTCATATTGAGCTATGTTGTCTTCCAAATTGTCTTCTACTCTCCAAATATTAAAATATGAACTCTACTTTCGATATTCTTTTATATTATTACATAGTGTGTGTGCATTTTTTAATATCAAGTCAGTGATGTCAGCCGGGCCGGATTTTTTCGCACACGTGCAGTCAGAATGACAGCAGAGATCGGCAAAACTCTAGGCTTCGAATAAATCCGAAGTTTGCCGATGTGTTTGTCTCGTTTCTTTCTCTGGAAAATGTTTAAAAGAGGAAACGAGACAAACATATCGGCAAACTTCGGATTTATTCGAAAGCTAGGGTTTTGTCTATCACTGAATAACAGTTAGCAGTGTCGTGATGCCATGTTCACTGCTCATACGCGAAAAAAAGTCGGCGCGGGTGACATCACTGGGCCAGATTTTGGTCCCTGTCGCGCATGGGTTTTAGCGTCAGTAAACTATCTAATACGACTATTAAACTGACGCCTTTAGTCGCCCAAAAGAAAAATACAAGTATAACGAATACGGACTAATTCGGACTGTAACTACAGTACTACGCGTTCAGCTTTTTTCAGCATGCGCGAATCGGAACAGAATATGGTATCATAGTATAAAGATGCGAAGTCATACCTTACTACATATAACACATAATCAGTCTTGCATTTCTTCTTTCCTTACATTCGTTTAATTTCTGCTTTACATTACTCTGCATTTGCATTTCCTTAGATCCTTCTAGATACTTGCTTAGATCATTCTCTGATTAGGGGTGCCAGTAATTTATTTGCACCCACTGGCACCCCCATTATAGCTCGGTTACCTCGGGGTTGCTAAGCCCGTACTGTAGCTACAATCAAACATAGCTACAGCCCCTGAGGTCTGAGATCAGTCGAGATCCCACTTAACCAGCATTACTAACTCTTTGCACTCGAGGCCTTTTTCTCTGGTATCTACCAGCAACTCGAGATGTTTCTTAACATTCTATTGCCACGAATGCTAAGATTATATTCACTTTAAAAATCAGATCTCTAATTTGAGATTTGAGAATCAGATCACCTTTGCCACAACGACAATCATTTCATTGGCACTTCGAGTTCCAAAGAAATTGAACCTAAAGAAAATCTAGTGGTGACCGAGTCACCTCTCAAGTGCAAAGGGTTAATATTGTCTGGGGTACGATACAACTCATTCCTGTCTGACCATTTCTCGCCAATTCTACTTGCGGAGTTCGTTAACCCTTTGCACTCGTGGCTTTGTTTTCTGATATCTACGAGCAACTCGAGATGTTTCTTAGCATTCTATTGCCACGAA